GGTGCTTCTACTAAATACTGAGCAAAGGGTCTGAATACTTATGACCATGTGATATTTCAGTTTTTCTTTTTTAATAAATCTGCAAAAATGTCAAATTCTGTGTTTTTCTGTCAATATGGGGTGCTGTGTGTACATTAATGAGGAAAAAAATGAACTTAAATGATTTTAGCATATGGCTGCAATATAACAAAGAGTGAAAAATTTAAGGGGGTCTGAATACTTTCTGTACCCACTGTACATCTATTCTTGCATTTACTAAATCTTATTGCAAGGCAGCAGCTGCATTCCTCTTCCCATTTTAGATGTTCACAGTCTGGGATCATATCTTGAAAACGAGTAACATTAAATGGAACATACAGAAAAGCTCAGGTATCAGAAAAGTCTATGAATTACACAAGAAAATGCATAATAACAAATGTAACGCAAGTTCAAAAGATTAACCATTTTAATAAAGTCCATGTCAAACATCAAAATACTGAAATGGCAAAAAGGAAAAAAGTTTAGTTTTTTTTTTAATTGTACAAATCACAGTGGTTCAAAATATTAAAAAGTTTTTAGTTTCAAAACATTTTTTGCAACAGCAGCAAAACATTCTGATTGTTGTATATTTTCTTGAAAGCCCTTAATAGTTTGTGAGTGTGGAGTGCTATTTTGCCTTTTATTGTAATAAGCACAGTAACATGAGCAGTAAGGGTTAATAAAACTCAGGAGTCAATGGAAACAAAAGTGCATAATACTACACAGTTTATATGAACCGCTTAAAAATTACAGAATAGACCAGGGATTAATAACACCATAGATGTCTATATAAACACTCTCCCTGTCCTGGGCCTCTTGGTGCATACACATGTATACACCAGCTTTAGATACGGTTTGGTGAGCAGTTACGAGGTGAGAGCCTGATTGCAGGTGGGAATTCACAACACTGTACTGTACTTTGACTAACATCTCCATTAAAGCAGTATATGCTTTAATATAGTTGTCACAGCCAATACCTGCATTTCATTCAACCAGTAGTTTAAAAATGCTAGTCCCCAACTAAGAACACACGGACTGAGTGACAGCCACATATTAAATTGAAATAGTGAAATAGTGAATAGTGAAATAGTGAAATAGTGGAAGCCATAGGAAACATGACTGAATTTGGCTTAGAAACAGATAATGAGATTGTGGAAAAGTAATAAGAGATTTAAATTTTGATCAAGAAAACTGGTAAATATAAAGACTTAACATACTTAGCAAAAAATATTAGGCTACATAATAGGAAGTGCAGGCACATGGAAGAGTCTGAAAACATTATTTTAGAATTGCTGGTTTACTGGGTTTCTTGGTCATTTAATAATTCATCTGCTGTTATCTGTTGTGTAGCTATAGCATAGATGATATTATGTAGTCAACTTTTAAAGCTCCATATCCTGTTATCACTGGAAGTTTTCACTATGACCCCGACAGCTAGTAACTGTTTATGCCTCAACTAACATAAAAAAACAAAAACATGCCACTTCACACAAGGTCTACAGATACTGTACATTAAAGAAAGCTGCCTACTTTAATTTCTGTGTTCGCATGTGTATTTCTTGGCTTAATCAACTTTAATTTGAACCCAGAAGGTGGTTTGAGCCTGTACAGAGCCAAAAAAAAAAAAAAAAGAGTGAGATTTCACTAAAGGCACAGCAAAAGAGAATAAAAACAAGGTGTTCTCTGGGTCCTTAGATCTCACATTAAAAAAAGAAATGTCAGGCCTGTAAAAAAAGGAAGAAAAGCTCCACCTAAAGTAACTGAGAATGTGACAATAAAATGTATGTGATATTATAGGACTAGACAATCACAACCCTACATCACGAAGTGACAAGATGTAACTTTGGCCTGTTGGGGCCAGTGTGGCGAACATAGTGAGGACTGAGAAAAGCTACTAAGGTTTCACTTTTTGCCCCTGCATTTCTTCCTCTCTACTAATCAGGGTGTCTCGACATTTCCTGCTCTGTGACTCCGCGTCTATTTTCCACAATTCTCACTTTTCTTTTGTAATTTATTTTGTGTTACCTTGTTGATTTCGAAACTTTTCCATGACCTCATGAGAATTTTCAGGTCCCTGTAACTACGGTATATACCGAAGTCTATGCCTAACGCTAGATTCATGCATCATGCTTTACCCAGTTTATTATATACACTAGATGCAGGCTAAACCCAAACATTATACTTTGAGCCATTTAGATAGGATGTTCCTAAAATATGTGCATTACAATACTCAACTGCAGGTGAAATTTAGCTTTTTATGCTTTTCAATTTTATGCCCTAAACACAATATTTTAAAAAATCACAGGAATAATCTTATCTAGAATAACAACATAAAAGGGGACAGCACCAGCACCAGATCCTCTTCATTTGACTCTTTAACTCAAATGTCTGTAGATGTCCCAGCCTATTGTTTAAAGTAGTGGTGGAAGAAGCACTCCGATTCTTTACTTAAGTGAAAGTAGCAAAACCGCAGTGAAAAAATACTGTTACAAGTAAAAGTCCCGCATTCAAAATGTTACTTAAGTATTAGCATCAAAACATACTTAAAGTACTAAAAGTACTCATTATGCAGAATGGCATAATTTACATTAACATATATTATTGGATTATAACTATTGATGCATTATTGGGTACATCACATTTAATGCTGTAGCTGGTAAAGGTGGAGCTTATTTTAACACGTTTATAATCTTATAATTTGAATTACTGCTGCGTAGCTTGTGAATTTTCTGCCAGAGATCAACAGTCTTTCAATTATACTGTATTTTGTTTTGCTACTTTGATTCTGAAAAGTAACCAGTAGCTAAAGTTATAAAACAGATTTACAGATTTACAAACAGATTTATGTAGTGGCAATAACAGGAACAATATTTCCCTCTAAAAGTAAGAATTAGCTCAAAATTAAAACACTCAAGTACAAGTACCTCAAAACTCTACTTAAATAAATGTATTCAGTTACTTTCTACCACCGATTTAAGTGGCATATTTAGTGCTGCTACTTTAAGCTGTGCTGAGCTAATTTGGTAAAACTGAACATGTGGATAAAGCCACAAAGCAATAAGAAAGCTACTGTGGGGTTCAGTGGCAAATAGGCCATTAAAAGAAAGCTGGACAATTCATGATATTCAGCTTCTCACTGAAAAGGTTGTGAGAAAATTTGAAAGACTTCAGTGGAAACATTATGCTACAATCATCAGGTTTAGAAATAATCTTACATCAGGAACGATTCCAGCAAAGAACACAAAAGGTATAGTCACAGACAAAAAAGTGCATTCCAAGTGTCATAAGGACAAAGTTAAGCCAACATGCAAATTAACCTCATTCTAAAAGTGGCTGCACCCTACCCAGTACACAGGTCAGTCCGTGCTCATTTTTAATGCTACCTCACAATCACTTGATCGAATGAGAATCCCATGAAGCCACTCTTTTTCTACATCTGAATAATTATCAGTGTAGAAAAAGAGTAGAATGATCTAAGGCCCTATGATTAGACCAAGAGCTTGTAGAGCTCAAACCAAGAGCTCATAGAGCAGTAGGCCTTAATATTCTCTTTAGGCGTGGCTCGAGCTGCCTCAAGAGGGATAACATCTAAAGCAACACCATAATCCAATTTGCAGTTACAGCATTATCATGGCCACTGTCTACTGTGTCCATCATGCCAGCCACTGCTGGACCTTTCTGTAGGTCTGCTCAGTTTTGGCCAACTGTAAGGCACGTGGACCAACACAAGAGGCTTAACAAGTCATCCCAAGCAATAACAAGATAAATCTAATAGCTATTCCTTCTACAGGCAACTAAATAAAGAGGCTACAGAAGACCATCAAAACTGTCCCTCAACTTTCTCCTCTTAAAGTCCCATAGCTCTGCACTGGGATGTATTTAAATATCTGTGGAATCACTCCAAATGGTGTAGGATGCTTGTAATGCTGACTGAGACTTGTTCACTTTTACTCCACTTTCATTCTTTCCTAGAGGAATCAGCTCAATTCTCACTTGGGCCTCATAAGGGCCTATCTGACTTCCATTTCGGTAGCTGACAATGACTTTAACACACCTCCCATTGAGAATGGCAGAACCCACATGTCTCACACAGTCTATCTCCTGCAGGTGCCAGGGTAAAGCTGAGGTGCACAGACCCACAAATAGAACAGCGTGCTAATAGAAACGCATCACCATGAAGTCTTGTTTTCACATTCAGGACTAAAGCCCAAAGAAATTAGCACTCTTCTTGAGAAAATGTGAGCTGCTCTCTTATGCGGTTTAAAATCAAACCTTTTCCTTTGAGACGACACTCATAATTTCAAATTCAATCTAAAGTAAATATTGTTTCCCTGGTTAATATGGAAGCAAAACAGATCGCACTGGTTTTGAACATAAAAGCAGTAAAAGGCATTAAAAGGTTGCAACCACTGTATGTAAGAACAGAAATCTACACATTCACTGACCAACTGTGGCCTCTTACAGACTGTTAGTGTATAGAAAAGAAAAACTTATGTGACATATTTGAACATCATCTTCACATTTCTGCACATTCATTGCAGGTAAACGCTAAACAATTAGACAGAATGTTAAGCTGTGAACATAAAACCGTATGTGTGTCTGCGTGTTCATGTGAATGCTGTCTTATTGCATTTTAAGCACCATTTTCAATTCCAGCAGGAGGAATGGAAGGCAGTGTAGAGCAGTGACACTTTTCCCCTAATACCACAGACTGAAAATGCCACCACAAGGAAGGATTCAAATATTACCATCTTATATCCTGCCTCCCTCTCCTACAAGTCACCTTTTCTTCTCTCCACCCTCCTGTCTTACCAGTAAAGGAAGCAGGGAAGCAGAAATGAAGAAAGTGAGGAAGAAAGAATCGTAGCTTTGGTATTGAGAATCAGGTGAAAATCTATAGATATACTTCTTTTAATGCACTACTAATACTGTGCATGTGCTTTAGTTTTCTTCTAACACTTTATAAGGATTGATATTATATTGACAATCTTAATAACTGAAACTAGAGTAAAGAGATCACAGGCATACAAACTCCTGTTAGTGTGGAGGTTAGTGCTGGGGCCCTGAGTAATGCTGCCCCCAGTGGTGTAGGGGTGTAAAGGCAGGCTGGCTTGGGTGCTTCAATGCAACCTAGTGGCCATGGGTGGATGTTGCAAGCTCATTTGTTTAATGCTGTATCCATCATTCCTTCATGGCAGAAGTATCAAGTAAGGCTAGCCCTCTTTAACCCCATCAGTGGTACAGAGTGGTCACTGTCTGAAGTGCAGTTTGGTGAATCCAACTCATCAAGGACAGCTTGTGTGTGTGTGTGTTTTTGTAGGTGTGGTGTGCAGCAGGAGGGGATGGAGGGTGAAGGGGTGAATGGTCGACACCAAAAACCATGTCAGGACAAGACTGGAGGCTGATAGCTATGATCAAGCCTACTAGATTGTTTTAACAATTTTAAGGTTAACCAAACCTAGGCTCTCGACTAACAGTCTCAACTTTGCGGTTGCAATTGCAGTCGTCAAGGGCCTCAAACCTTACTGGGAGTTGTGTGCGCCACAGTGTCCTAGAACACACACAAAATATATAAAGATGTAAAATAACATCAAAATAATAATAATTACATTGTCAGTGTCCATTCCTGGGAGTCCATTGCTGGTTTTAGAGGGGTGGATCTTGGACACAGGTCTGTGTGTGCAAGCTAACAGTCTGAGTAGAAGTGAAGGCAGAGGTATGCTCCCCAAGAGGAGCTGCAGTGGTCAGTGTGCAAGTCTTTAAGGGCAATGTGAAGGATGGAGACAGAGAGAGAGCCCTTGCTCATAGTCCAATCACTCAAAGGCTGAAACGCTGTGAGTGCTGGTGGAGGGACAGAGCTCTTGTGGATGGGATGAGGGGCTGCACTGCATGCAAGCCATTATAGAACAGTGCGCCTAGGAAGCACTCAACCTGGAAGCATCACTCATAACACCACTCACATGCACTGCCACATCCATGTATATACCCTTCAGTTAAGTCCACACTTGTCACTAAAGCATACCAAAATACACCCATAAACTCACCCACAATTATAAAGAGGCACATACATTCCCCCAAAACAGGCATAGTAGCACTGAGAGTAATTTCTCGACCAACAGAAGGTTCAAAGCCGACCACCTCTGTATGCGTTAGGGAGGGGGTTGTTTTCCTGGGTATGATGACCCAAGTAAGGATAAAGAAGTCAGTGGAGGAAACCCTTTAGGAGACGTGCGGCGAGGAGGATGGGTGTCTCCAGAAGCACCAGCCCCTTTTAGTGTGTTGCTTGCGCAAGATCTCCTCCTCGCGCTCGCGCTCTTTCTGAGATCGCAAATAGCGGTCTTCCTCCTTCAGGAACCACACAGGAGGCCACCGGTGCTTCTCAAAGTGCCTCTGATTTTCTACCGAGAGGAAGACAAAAGATACGTGAACAAAACATGATGAAGCACTTCAAACCTCCATAAAAAGATCTGAGACACCTTTTGAAGCTAAAGAAATGAAATGAAAGTGTTTCACTTTTAGCGGTGATTGTGGATATGTGGTCATAGTACAACCTGTTATTAATAAAATGTGGAATCACACCTTCATAAAAGGTGAGGATGGATGTTGCCTTTAATGTACCTGTTGCAAGACATAGTTGTTTGCTTGTTTGTTTATTTGTTTTGGAGGAGTTTATTAAAGGGGAAGCTGCATGTGTGAAAGAAGCAAATTATCAGGAGACAGATGAGACATCTGTACCTGGAGCCATGGCCTTCATGTCTTTGGGAAACTTGCGGCAGATGCTATTATAATTAGTGCAGATGTGATGGAGACACCAAGCTGATAGCTGCTTGGCATTGTGAAACTGCAAAAGGAAAAACAGAGGAGAAAAAAAAAGAGGTGGGATAAAAGTTAAAGAACAAAATTCTAATTTGAACAAATTAAGATCAACTTTAATCAAATTAATTTATGGTGAACATTCAATTCACTCGTACTTTAGCTAAACTGAAAAAAAAAACTTTAAATAATTCAGTCATTATTCAAAAAAAAAAACATTAATAAAAATGTTTAATTGACCATTATCTAAATGAGAAAGACAATTTTGCAGGGACAGACCTGTGCAAGCTCCAGGTAAGCCAACACCTGTCCATCAATGTCAGCTCCTTTCACTGCCAACTGGAGAAGCTCATCCACAGCATGCTGTTCTGAAGATGCACAAAATGGACATAATCATGTTAATATTTTCTTTACATGTACCTCTGACGTGAGTGTGAATTTTATCTCCCAGTTTTAGAATCTGCCTCGCAACTCACGACACCTACGATCTCTGACCGAGTCATTCATTATAATGTGTACAGATAAAACACTACCACAACCCGGTATGAGCTACAGAGGTACATCAGAGCTGCAAAGAGGGCATACTTCCAAAAACCGGAGAGCTGTTACCTGAATAACAATCCAGGCAGTCACAAACTACAGGAACAAACCAACGATAACAGTCTCCCAGGACGCCACCCTCCTGGACAGGCTTAACAACTTCTATGCAAGGTTTGACAGGCTGAACACAGACACCCCCTCAAAATCCAACTGTGACCCGGGGGACACTGCTTATCAGGTGACGCACACACAGGTCCTGAAGGCCCTGAAACAGGTCAACCCCCATAAGGCGGCGGGACCAGACGGTGCCCCCCCAGAGTGTTGAGAGCCTGTGGGGATCAACGAGCTAGTGTGTATACAGACATCTTCAATCTGTCTTTAACCCAAGCAATAGTTCCTTGTGTTTTCAAAAAAATCCATTATCATACCGGTCCCTAAGACATCAGACACATCCACTCTGAACGACTTCAGGCCAGTGGTGCTCACATCAGTCGCCGTGAAGTGCTTAGAGAAACTGGTCCTCACAGACATTAACCACATGGTCCCAGACACCGTAGACCCCCTCTGGTTTGCCTACCGCACCAACAGATCAGTGGACAATGCAAAGGCTCTGGCTTTATTCCACACCCTGAAACACCTGGACAACAGCAGTACGTATGTTAGGATGCTCTTCCTGGATTACAATTCTGTATTAAAACACCATTCACCTGGGCAGGCTGACTGGGAAGATGGCAGACCTCGGTGTCCCATTTCCCACCTGTAACTGGATTCTGGACTTCCTGACTGAAAGACCACAGGTGGTCAGTTTGGGAGGGCGGGTGTCTACTGAGCTCACAATCAGCACAGGCTCACCGCAGGGCTGCTGTTTCAGTCCCAAACTTTTCATCCTGTACACCCACGACTGTGTCTCCAACCGTGACAACACCATCATCATTAAATATGCTAATGACACCACCATTCTGGGCCTCATCAAGGGGGGAGACGAGTCGGGCTACAGAAGCCTGGTGAACGACATTCTTGTTTACGGAGAGGAGAATGACGTCATCCTCAATATAAACAAGACAAAAGAAATAATAGTAGACTTCAGGAAGAACCCCTCTCCTCTGCTGCCTCTGACCATCAAAGGGACTGAGGTAGAGAGGGCTGACAGCCACAAGTTCCTGGGACTGGTGACATCTGACCTGAGCTGGTCACTGAACACGGTGAAGAAAGCCCAGCAGTGGATATACTTCCATCAGGCGGCTCAGAAAAGCTGGTCTGAACAGTCACCCTCTCAACCAGGCTTATAGAGGGCTGGTAGAGAGCATCCTCACTACTGGCATCACAGTCTGGTATGGTAACAACACACAGGAAGAGAGGAAGGCTCTTCAAAGGGGATACTGCCTGCTATGGACACAATATACACAAAGCGTTGTTGCAAAAGGGCAGAGAACATAATCAGGGATCCATGCCACCCAACTCACACTCTGCTCAGACACAAAAACTGCACCTACAGCCTCAGGCACAGCAGGGCGGACGGTATCATCACACACAGAACTAGACTTTACAACAGCTTTTTCCCTGCCGCAGTAAGACTGATGGCAAATATAAAATGTGAAAAACCTGTGCCCTCATTACCCTACTAAGTAGAATACCATATAGAATTCCATTAGGTGCAATACCATGTGCAATATTTGAAACTCCTCACTTTACCTGCTACCTTATTCCTGCATCCACACTTTTATCAACTATTTTGTATCTTGGGTATTGTTGTTTTTTGTATTCTTAGGTAATCTTATATTTAGACTAGGTGCTTGTTCTTTTGGCTTTAAAAACTCTGGACTCCAGGAGAGCCCTGCACAAGAATTCTTATATGCCTAGACTGTCTGTTTATGCATAAATGGCAAATAAAAATGTTGAATCTTCTAACATCTATAGTCGGTACAAGTAAGTAGGCACTTCTTTACCTGTGAGGGCGACAAGACGTGGCAAACAGAGACGGTTGGCCAGAACGATCAGTTCCATGGGCTCTAGACCTGGACAGGGTGTCAGCAGACCGCAGTACAGGAACTCCAGCACTCCACGCATACACGCTGTACTGGTTTTAGGAATAGGTACCTGGAGAATGACCAGATCAAACAGAAACACAAAAAAACATGAGAAATGAAAGGTTGTATGGGCTGTCATGAAAATATGTATTTACACGTGTTTATGCTACAGTAAGGGAATAAACACTACCGTGTGTAACTTCTTCTGCACATGCATTTTGAGTATGTTAAAATATAAAATTCACATATGCTAGGTTAAGGATAACTGGCTAGAAATTGGTGAGATAATGTCAATGAAAGCAGCATTTGGAGGTAAAGGGCAGAGGGTATCCTATTCTGATCACATTCCCTTTGATCTAGGTTCAGATGAAAGCACTGTGTGTGGGCCACTGCTGCGAGCAATAGGGCTAATGCTAAAGATCCTAAAGCACACACAGGCGGGCTTGCTAGGCTGAACACAGTGAGATGCAAAGCTAATGTGCATCAAAGATGTACGCAGTTTCCATAAATCACTCAGAAAGACTGTACAAATGTTCTCCAAGGAGAAAGTGTGCATCACATTATGTTGTTATAACAAAATAAAATAATCATTGGACATACCTACAGATGTTTAGGTGATCATTAGTGATGACAGGACCAGTCCAAACATGCACACTTAAACATATCTAACATTAAGGTACATATGAAACACCTGATTAGGACCAAACTCAAGTTTAATTGCAAAACCCAAGTCCACTATATTACATATACATACACAAACACATACATACATACACATACTGTATCACCTGTGACAGCCTCTAGATGTCACCATACTATCAATTAGAGCTTAGCATCACAGAAGGCACTGGTCATGCTGCTTTTCACTGTAGCACAATATATGGGTAATTAAATAAATGTATATAAGTAAGGGTAAGTACTGTAAGTCCCACCAAGAGAAATTCATCAGGAGCTAATGCAACCAAACCCCAGGGAGTATGGAAAGAAAGGTAAATAATGATGAGAGTTAAGACCTGACCTCTACGGGAGTTTTCTGAGGGTACCCACTGAGGCGCTCTTACACCTCCACTCCCATAACCAATTAGGAGAATGTCAGCTTGGTGCGACCTCTCGTTATGAATAAAAAAGTGAAAACACCAAGACAAGGGTGGTCTCTGGAACTTAAAGGCCCAGCTGGGGCCAGGAAGCATTAATGAATGGACACATCCACAGTGACGGGACATTTGTGGATAAGACCAAAGCTGTACTGACTGGTGTTCTTTTGCTTGTTCATTCTCACATCATAGAGGTAAATTATTAGTTTATCATTAACCAGTTTAGTATTAAGTAGTTTATTTGCACACATATAAAGTGGGTCCTAAGTGAAACAGGAGTTTAACAGGCTCTAAATGAAAATTATGATAAAGGCTAACAATGGAAAGGCATAGAAGAAAAAAAAAAACATGCAGTGTGAGATACCAATCCCCAGTGCATGATAAACAGATCAGGAGATATCTTTTTTGTGATAGCCAACAAATACAATGAAAACACCAAAGCAGCAATGAATGTATCCTATGAACAAGGTTCATCTGTGTATCTAAAGCCTGATTTATCTTACCTACTTGTTCTACAGGGCTCTGTTGATGTCCAGGGACTACTAAAAGCACATCAGTGAGCCACATCGTTGCACTGGGTGAGATCTTTCATCATTTTGAAAAATATGGGCACAATAGTTTATATATAAACAGCAGACTAATAACTGCAGCGACTTTCACAGTCTGAGTAGTTCCTTTAAGTCACTATCTGCTGGCTTGTTTTGCTACATATCGACCACCTTCTGACTTTGGCTGAAGTTTACTGAGAATTTTACAATGTCTTGAATAGAGTCTGATCAGTAGGACAAATATATTTGTCTCACACACAAATGGAGACTGTCAAATGTGATGGATTCATGGACTCAAGCTTGTATGAGCAAGCGTATTCAGTGGAGGAAATATAAAAGAGACATGCTGAGAGGGAGAGACTGAGGGCGACAGCTGACACTAACATTACCTCATCAGCTGATAACAAAGCACTGATCAATCCAAACAGATCTAAAAGAGACCAATGGTGCAGCTGCACTCAGTGCTTCGCAGTGCCATCTGAGGCAGAATACAGATGCTGCAATAAATGTGGCATTCTGCCTTTACTACAGGAGCTGTAAAATGAGAGCATTTAGAGAGCCTCCAAGTTTTAAACAGACATTCCCAGAACTTTGAATAATCTGAAAAGACAAAGAAAAAATGTCTGTCAAAAATCATGCACAGTGGCTTCTGACTTACAGAACCTGCTCTCCACAGATTGTGAAAGTCATCGCTGTTATTCTGCAGAACTGTTTATAGATAAACTACAATGCCCATACTTTTGCAATGAAGAAACATATCAAAACAGTATGACAGTTCGGTTCACTGACGTGTGTACAGGCAAATAAGCTAACTCAAGTTTTGGACACAGATGAATACAATACTTCTTGGTGGGATAAAGTTGGTGTTTTCGTGGAATTTGTTAACAAACATCAGAAAACCAGATAAAATCCTGGAATGAGTGTAAAATACAAAACAGTCAAAAACATGTGGGTGAGGGAAAAAACAGCAGTGAGTCACACAGCCGCCACCACAAATAAGGTATAAAGTTGATAAGAAAGAGTAAGAAAACAGGTCTCTCCTTTTCTTGCAAGTGAGACAGAAGCTTAACAGACTCTCACATTGGACAAGTTAGTCCTCTCAACAGGTAACACTCCACTAGGATGCATACACGCACGGTGAACACAAAACCACAGACGCACACTTAGAACATAATCCAGGGGTGTACCATGACACACTCAGTGGTCATTTTGTATAACTGCCTACGCAGAGAGCAAACCTTTGACTTGTAGTTTCTTATTATTGCACCATATCTAAAACTGCTGTAATCACCGTCCATGCAGTTTTATCACAAATGTGCGTATTGTATGAAACATCTATAATGTTGCCAATACCAATAATAGTATAAATAATGATAATAAGTCAGTTTGAAACATATAGCTGTTGTTCTGCACAAAATTAGCCATCTTTTCACACAACAGCATGAACACTGAAATGTGTGAACCTAAAAATACCAAGAAGGAAGTGTGACATGAGCACAACAACAGAACAGCACTGGCCGATCACATGCTACTCTCACACTTGAGGTCTACAGTTTTTGAATTGCCATATAAGTGATCCATACGTCCTCAAATCACCAAACCACCAATTTTTGAATAATTTTATATTTATATTTTCATGAAATAAGCAAATGAGTAAAACTGGGGAGAAGCAGATAACTTTATTAACATTCATAACAGATTTGTGCTTGATTTAATATTAGAATTGACTGAATAAGATCAACCTTCACTTGAAACGTCTTCACTCAGGTGGCCTAAACATGTGCCTAGTTGTGATTCTACTTAATGTTGAACACCAGTAATATTTAATTATCTGCATGATTTACCAGATCCTATAAGGTAATTTCATTGCCAATATCATACTTTAACTTTTTTTTGGAAATCTCCAACATCAACATTTCTTAACACTTCCTCCAGTATTGATTCTCTCTCAGAGTAAAAGAATAGAACTACACCATCTGCTGTGTTAAGGGTGCACAATTATGTTATTGTGTCCTGCTCTAAAAGCTTTGCTTCTGGTGGAAGACCAGTTTCAAATGTCACATTTCTGCTCAGTTATGCTGACACATCTTCTCATACTAGCATTTATCTGTGAAGATCTCAAAAGGAAAAAAAGATAAACAGACAGTAAATGGCCATTCTGAATATGGTATCTGTACATTAACAACACTGTAAAGGCTACATGAATGCCTGGCAGAGGAAGGAAGTAAATTTAAAAGCTATCAAACAACCTAGTGACTGCAACTTGTTGCTGACATATAAAACGTCATTCACTAATTAGCACCACAAAGCTTTCTAGCACCATAAAAATGCAAACACAATGAGCATACAAAACACAAATCCACTGATGATCTGAAACATAAACGCTGAAAACTTCATTATGCAGTCAGTCTTTGAGTCTTTTTCTCCAGGCCCCCTGCCTTCTATGCTGTGCCAGCTTCATGCCATAAACAATGCCACAATAGTCACTAACATGAATCGTTTAGAGTAACCATAGACACCGGCAACCCACCAGCAGCCCCCTCAGTGATGCTGATGTCCTGTTTTCACCATCGGCCACAATAATTGCAATGGCTTTTTTTTTCCCCCACACCCACTCGCATGGTGTGTTCTGGAATAAAATCCAGGCTATTCGCATGGAAACACAAAAAGACAAAATGTTTTCTATCTACATTAGTTTTCTTCTAACAGGAGCTCTATAACTTTGAGCGTTACACCTAAATTAAACATATGCCATTTTCATTTATTGTCTCTCTACTCATTTCTGAGTACAGTATGACTTCCAATCCCTCTGAGGGCCTGAATCTAGGTACCCTAACCCTGCTGACACTGAAAGTACCCATACTGCAGGGATGTGGTTCTGCACCACACCTGCTGACACTGAAAGTAGCCATACTGCAGGGATGTGGTTCTGCAACACAGTCCGGGGTGCATCGACTTAACGGCAGCTAACCTGTCTGGTTAGGTCCGGCCCAGTGCACAGGTCCTGCGAGTAACCAGCAACAAGAATCTGAGTAACCACACTCATCACTTGGGTAACACTAACCTTAAACTCTTTTAGGTTTACTTGATGTAGTGAGATGGGTCAGTGCAGCAATCTTATTCTGCTGTCACAAGCTTGAGACCCCACATAAATGTTGCAATGATTCTAACTAGACACTGACTTTAATAAGTCAGCAATTTAATACTTCTGCTTGGTATGATGTATGTGAAAAGAAAACCTGTGGATTATGTTCACTGGAAAAAAAAAGCTACTTCAGGCAGATAGAGATGTATTTACTGTTAGACAATTAGAAATGAGTCTGTCTCTCAGTGCTATGACACAAAAGCAAGCACTGTGGTTTGATTCTTGACAATGCACAGCAAACATCAAGCAACAGGAAGTCACACGTTGAGAAGGCTTCATGCTACTTAAAGCATACCTTCAGAAAAATGTCAAAGTGTGTGCATGTTTGTTTTTGCAGGTGAAAAAAAAAATTCTGTAGGTCAATTTGATAACAAGACCTCAAGCATCCCGAGCTGTAAACCTTCACAATGTATAAGCACGCACAGACACACGTGTAGGTTACTGTACATGTCATGAAGGTCACACGTCTCTAAAGTAAAAAAAACCTTATCCAAGTAACACATTTACCTTCACCACATATAGTATATTGATTCTTTTGTCAGATGTTTCTGCTTTTGTTTTCACATGTTGAGTACAGGTGAGCAATAAGCGCATTCCTAAAGGCTGACCTGAGTTTCATGTTGTATATTTCCCAGGATTCAGAAGACAGAAACTAAATCTCTCCTTAAAACTTAAAGGTAACTCTATCCTCAAGCTTTCCCCAGGGTGTCTGAGCTCACCTCCTTAATGTAGCTTTCCATGAACGAGCCCCGGAACATGGCCGCCATCCAATCACAGCTGGAGATGAGCAGGGGCTTGTGGGCTGGGAGGTAGCCATCATCCAGTCGGAACACCACATCTAAAACCGGGGTGGGAAAAGAGCATTCATCTCGTGGAGTGCCACAGAAGCCCAAGCTACAGAGAGGGAAAGACAGACAAAGCAGACATCCAGACGCACGCACAGGCAGACAGAATGCCAGACAGACGCACACAGACGTAGACACAAGTAGACAAACAGAGAGATAAATTCACAGAGGGACACAACAGCTTCTGACACAGAGTAAGGGAAGGAGAGCAGGCGCTGGAAAGTAGGTGACGGAGAAAATCCTGTATGGTCTCTGGACTAGAGCTTTAGTAGAAAACAGAGCAACTATGTTAGTGCAATAATGGGCTACATCTGAAAAAAAACAAAAATATCCCCACTATCCTGAATTCAATGTCTGAGCAATAAATACAGTAAATTATACAACTGTCCAAAAAGCTTTTACTTTTACATTAATTAAATCTCTAATGATTATCTTAAAGGATGATTCTTGTTATAATCATGAAGACAACTACAGAAAGACGTGAATGAGAGACAGGCTTTGTTCAGATAGCAGATGTCTGGCATTGGCTGCAAATGCTGTGTCTACATCATGCATACACAACAGATTAGAGGGACAGACAACACCACACAAACACTAGATACAGGAAGCACACAAGAGCGAACGCAAGACCACCAAGCAGACTGAAGTCATCAAGTCACCTGATGACTTGGAAGCTCTTCAGAAAACAGAGAAATCACAACATACAAAATGCATATTTCATAGCAAATACAGGATTAAATGCACACAGAGTATACACACCCATGAACACAAATTAAGAAACACACATCTACTGATGCATACATAGAAAACATCTGCACTGACGCTGAAATGTACACCGAGTGTACATTTCCAGGGACTAGAAGAGAACGCTGGATGTTAGCATATTCTTTTTGCATGTTCTCCTTAACAGCCTCTCACATTCCTGAGATACTCCAACTCTCACATGCATACACACAAACACACAAATTAACAAACACATATATACCGATGCATACATAGAAAACATCTGCAATGACACCAATGCTACTGAAGTATTGAAGAACTGAACAGTTGGCACAAATGTTTACCAGCAAATGTGCCCTTATTGAGACACTCCTTGATGCGGTTGGCTCTGCGGACATGGAAGGCCTTGGTAATCTCCTGGTTCATGAAGCTTTCTCTGTTCAGAACATTGGCCACCATCATCCGCAGATCAAACACCTCAAGTAGCTCTGCAATGGTGGCCACCTGCATTAGATCCCCTCGGCCCTCATCCAGACTGCCTGTGTACAGGTACTGAAGCACCGCCTGGAAGCAGGGCAAATCAAGAGGTAAATACACAGCTTCGGAACAACTATGCTAAAACAGAAGCCTGCAGTAATGATACAGCAAATCTCTAATTTTCAAATCATTTATGTTATTTTTAGTAAACCTCTCACATTTAAGTCAAATCACCTTGAATGGCTTTTCCTGTATAAGTGCATCCATGGCTACCACAGTCATGAGTCGTGGTCGTCCAGTCACGGGATCATCAATATGCTCCAGACACACACTCAAAAAACCCCTTCCCCATCCGGAAAGTGCTCGTCCAGTCCCTAGCACTCCAAGATAGTACTGGGCTCGAGAGGGGAGTGCATTATCACTCTGGGAAGTCCTCAAAGAGCCCTGCTGGAGCAGCTGGGATTGATTCAGGCCTCGCACTGCTCCATCAACTCCATCTTTATCAATGTCCAGGCTCTTAGTGCGACCAGCTTGCTCCTTGGCTCCTCTCCTGCTCTGCTCATCTTCTTCCACGTTCTCCAAGTTTTCCTTGGTCTCCTGTTCCTCCCCCCGTGGCACCATAGATGATCCGCCAAGATCAAGAGTGAAGAGGTCATAGAACCTGGAGCAAGACGTAGCCAGATAGACTTTGTGTGCAAAGACACGAGTGGAGCCACTCTGCAAGAGAAAAAGAACATCTGCACACAGTGGCTGGCAGAAAAGGGAATCGGGGCCCTCCCCATCCATCGGAGGGGGATCTGGGATACCCACTATGGGACGTGGTGGGCGTGGAGGAAGGAAGGGTGCCTGGAGAAGAGGCCTCTGGACCTTTTTCAAGTGGGACTTCCAGAACTGCAGGTGTCGACGAGAGATTAGGGCGGCTCTGATAGCATTGTCAAAAACATCTTTCACTCCAAACTGTGCAACAATGCTGGTCTCGTAGTATGGAATCCCAAGTTCCTTTGCCACCTCGTGACCTCTCTCTGGAGGAAGGATATCTGTAGGTTTGATAGGTCTGTGAGACAGAAAGAGAACAACATTAATGATGGCATTGTTCAGACAGAGAAGGAAGGAGGAATCGCAGTATATGAACAACACAAGAAATTTAAGATAAGTACTGATTTTAACCAAATTCACCCATATTTTATTCCCATCATGTAACAAATGAGAACAGGTCGCCAATCCATCACAAGGCTAACACATAGACGAACAACCACACACGCACTCCTATGGGCAATTTAGAGACACCAATCAACTGCATGTCTTTGGACTGTGGGAGGAAGCCGGAGTACCCGGAGCGAACCCACGCAAGCACGGGGAGAACATGCAAACTCCACACAGAAAGGTCCCGGGTGGGGCCCGAACCCAGAACCTTCTCGCTGTGAGGCAACGGTGCTAACCACTGCATCACCGTGCTGCCTCCCTTTTCAAGTTGTTCTTGACAATATCAATCAATGATGCAGAGAAATAGTCAATGTCTCTCCTGTAGTGATTCAGTTACTGTTATACTGTTACTACTGACAACTGATTAACTGGACAAACCCAACATGCAACCCTCACTGAAGTCCACCAAGGAGCAGGTTCTATCCAACTTTGTCTCTGAATGTTTGATAAAGAAGGCATCTCACTTGGCTAGGGGTCTCCGCGCACGGTTAACTGCATCCAGGTCGGCATAGCGCAGATCCAGCTGGCAGCCAACCAGGATAATGGGCGTCCGGGGACAGAAGTGTTTGATCTCTGGGAACCACATGGTGCGGACGTGGCGCAGGGAATTGGGATTAGCCAGAGAGAAGCAAAGCACCACTACATCAGACCTAAGGGGGAAGGTAGGAAAGAAAAACATCTTAATTTAATGTACTTGCAAAATAACAGAGATCTCAGATAAGACAGGAAAAGGATGGCAGAGGGGAGCCGATGTGTTGTGTTATGAGGAAAAGACGACAGCAGAGAGAAGACATGGCCTTCGATGTAGTGAAAGAGACAAAAGATAAAAAGAAAAAAAGGGATCAGTACCGAGTCACTGAACATCTTGTCATATTATGTTAAAACATGTGATATGTATATGGAAGAAGCTGGTTCAGCTGCTGCAAGGTATTGTGGGAACATGGACAGTGCCATCAATTAAGCAATGAGGCTACGAGGAGCTATGAGGGGTCACAACAGGCACGTCTGTGTGTGTGTGGGTGGATCTGTTTATGTGTGTGTCTGGGCCTCCGGATTGGTGATCCGTGACCCATCTCACTCTGTTTCTCTATCTTATGTAAATCTCCTTAAGCCCTCAGAGGCAACATGGACCACAAAGAGAAAGCTAAGAATAAATCACACACACATGCATACAAATTCATTTCCTCATCTGATGTGTTTCAACAAGCAGACAGCAGCACTTACAGCTGATCTCTGGTGATGATATTTCTGAGACATGTTGGTGCATATCTGTTTCTAGGTAATGTTTAATCCAGTTCTGGACCAGTGAGTTGGACTGTTTATCATCTGTACAATGCTAACAGGGTAGAATCTACAATTCCTAGTGATCTACTTCTTAAAACAGCAACACAACAGCACACAATTTATGACCCCAGCAGCACAAAACCAGGAGTATATTAGGCTACAGTAGCATCACTGTACTGTACATTAAACATCACTGATAGCCAGCAATATACCCGTTATTGACATTAGTAAGGCATACAGTACTCATCAGAAGATGTGAAGTGCTCAACCAAAATGTGAACTTGAAAGCAGCATGACATAATACTTAAGCATTTCTTTTATCTCCCTTTAGGCAAAATACCTATGTTACAGCAAATGTGACCTATTTTCTGAGCAGACAAAGGGAGCACTGAAAATAAAAAAAAACATCTAGTCTACTTGTTTAATCTTCTACTTAACCTCACAGTCAAACTTTACTTTTGTGCCAATCAAAAACCAATAGAGGTGGTTCCACTTGTTGTAAATGAAATGTAAAAATTTAAATAGGGACTATCGCTGGAGTAGAGACAGCACTAAATCACTGTTTTTGCAGTGTAGACATGGGTTCAAAAGTCCATCTTTACTTTCACCAATGAAAATAAAGTCTCCTTCTGCCAAGGGCATAATATACACTAGCAAAGCACACACACAGCAATTCCTATTAAGACATTATCAGAGGATCTTGATATCGTAGTCTGTTTGAGGTCATGTTATTTGTTTGTGCCTTTGCTTTCATGGTTAAAGGACAAGAGTTTGGCTTTTTTTTAACAACCTAAGGCTTATTGCCACTATACCTGTATGTTAAAATAACACTTCTGTAATTACTATTGACATTGTAGAAACTGAGCGGAGTGTGATGCTCTGAAGAAGGTCTTTAAGTTGACATGTGCCGGCAGATTTGTCAGCCTAGTGATTGTAAACAAAAACGTCTTTATGAATAATATATGAGGTGGTTTTTGACTACAGAGTGCTGCCTTTTTCCTGACTTTGTTTGGGAGAATAAAGGCGGCACTGGGATGGTGTTCTCTTTGGAAACAGCTTCACAATGGTATCCAACAGGACCAATGAAATATGAGGCCTGGAAGACCTTTAAACCTATTCAGTCTTAACCTATCTTTCAAGTCTGAGAGTGATGGTGAACAGTAAAAAATAGGACCCCTACTTCAACATTCTACCTTCAGCTCAACCCAGATGACCTCCTGTACGCTCTACATAAAATACAAATAAAAGCACATAGTAGTAGCTTCATGTCACTTGTTTAATTCTGCATGAGCATACAGGATGTGATGTGGGTCAGGATAACCTGGTTGAAATGGTACTGAAGTTTGATCATTTTGGAAGATGTATTTTGTGGTGATGTTGATTTGTATTGTGTTATACTCACATATGCTCCTGTTATTTTGTCCACACCATTTGCATCAGTGAGGCTAGCCTAAATATGAGAATCATCTCTGTGTCTAATGCAGTACATTTTCAAAACTACAATATTGTCCAAAACAATCATGCAGTTGAATCAACACCTCTCTAAAACTGAAAACTACCACCTTCGTGAAGGGAGCATTCATTGCAGGACTATCGTCTTAGACTGTATTATTTTTAAGTAGATGTGAATAAACCTCCAGCTGAGAGTATACCATGAGTGTATTTGTACATACAGTATAGTACATCTGAATGAGAATGCACTTGTGAGTCAAATGATATGACAAGTCCACTGTGCTATAATTTACCACCAGCAATAATGTGTAACACCCAGCTGCTCCACTAGTGACTAGTTTAGTTTTCTGTGTGTGTGTGTGTGTGTGTGTGTGTGTGTGCGCGCGCGCACGTGTGTGATGTTTCCAAACTACAAAAGGTCATCAGTTGCCAGATTATGTAAGAAGAGACACAAATGCACACAGGCGCTCCTCAGCCATTACACCTGTAATAATGGTACTATAAAAGTTTTATCTGCTTATAAGCGCAACATGAAATTGTTTAATTTATTAAGCAAAAGCAAAGTAACTTTTTAAAATGACTTTTTGTTAATTCCAAGGCTGACTCAGGTTAAGTTTGGCTTAGCCTATTTTCAGGCTGTTTTCCCAACCACAAATGTTTCTCCCCTAACAAACCATGTTACAGGCTGGCTACTGTCTGACAATGTGATGTTTTGAGTTATGACATCAACAAAAGGCTACCAGGTGGAAAGGAAGGTGTCAAAAAGGTGACAGAGCAGTAAAGTGTCAAGGGCACACGGGCAGGCTAAGAGGAGCTAAGTAACAGGGTAGTAAGATGAGGGAGAGGGAAGGTGAGGTGAGATAGGAGAAAGGAGGAAGAGGAGGTCAGGCGGATGCCTGGCGCTGCAGATGCCAGGGAGTCAGGCAGGCAGAAAACAGCTGAGCTGGCCTCATGTCTTTGTCAGCTGACTGCAGGCTGACAAGGCATACAGGACATGCGGACTTACATGCACGCTCACACCGAAACGCACACAAACAGAAGCATATCACTGCACAAATGCAGAGACACAAAGTGGAAGAACACAACATAAGGGGGGAAATTTGAGCCAAAAACTGAGCTACAAGGAACCTACAAATGCACAGTCGGTCACACAAATACACTTGCAAAAATGTGACAGGGTGAAATGTTACACACAGTGCACCCACCCTCTGTTGAGAGAACACACAGGGTGCACATGGTAATGTGTACATGCATGTATGAGTGGATGTTTGTCAAGTCTTAGTGCCTGACACAATAAATTCTAAAAGGTTTGAATAACTACTGAATATAAAACAAATAAAAACATTTAATTGTCTATATGCAGTACTCATGATGCATGAAATATATCTTCACACTTTGTGCCTGTCATCTGAAGACATATTTGCTGATTTAGCTTTAGCCGCAGCCACTTTTTCATTTCATGCCAATACTGCAGCTTGTTTAGAGGGATGGAGGGTAAGAGGATATGAGCAATGATCCAGTCATCTCTGGTGCAGAACAGATGTAACAGCTTGAGGACAGAGTTCAACTAAAAAGCATAGCAGCTGGATTACGCCCAGGAAAACATAAAACAAAACTTTTTAAATGTTTAAAATGCAAACAGCTAGCACATATTAGCAAAGGGAAACTGTGTCAATGCCCTACAAATTACACAGCCAAGACAAAGGAATCTCTTGGCTACACCAATTGTGAAAGTGGAACACACTGCAAGGTAGTTAAACTTGTGGTCAGCTAGCAACTGTGTTATTGGGTCAGTAACTAGGTTCTGGCTGCTACGCAGTCTGAAACTACGTGTGTGTGTATGCGCCTCTGTATCAGCTCACCTGCCGTAGGCAAATCGTCTGTCTTTGTGATGATCCCCGAATGTGTCCCATAGCCTCAGGGACACACTGACCTCATCCACTACATCACGAGATCTCTCTAACACCTGCAAAAAAGACACAGACATTGCGTTATGTAGCTGTAATCAGGTAAAAAGTTTAGACTTCATTGTGATGACTGTGTTGGGATTAAAGGCCTGTGTAACTCACTAAGCTAAAGGAAAAACTATACACATTTTCACAACATTTATGAAATAGAGTTTTTGGTATAAGTCTGAAAAGAAATGTTTTACTTATGTCAGAAAAGCACAGTAAACTGAATTAGTCTCAGTTTCATGTCCAAAAGTGTACCTAAGTTTGTCTATATGTGGCTCTTTTCACACTAGATGTGTATGTGCGTGCCCACCTCCTGGCATACGCGGTACTGGTCGATGGCCCAGACGGTTGGCACGTGGGTGGCAAGCAGCTGATACTGTGTGAGGGTGGCATTGCAAGCCCGAGCACAGATTAGCCTGGTCTTGCCTACTGCATTATCCCCTACCACCACACATTTAATGGTTTCCACATTGGGCCGCTCATAGTCTGTGTCTATATCCATGGAGAGCGCCCTGAAGAACAGGAGAGAAGAGAGAGAGGGAGGAGGTTAATTCAATATTCATGGGAAATTAAAATCACATTGATAAAGCATCCCTTGAGGAATGGCACCGCATTATGACATTGAGGGTAAATGGCTTCAGGCACAGTAGCTTCTAACTCTTGCCCAGTTCAGGCTATGGAAGCTTTGTTGAGGCTCTGAGACCCCGCTGCTGCACTGACCAGTGTTCAGGGGCTTCTGCCAAACTCCTCAACAGAACACATGGTTCGCAGGCTGAGGAATAGAGGGGACCGCAGAGCTATTTTTATAACAGCACACAGAGAGAAAAAGACAAGACAAAAAAAAGACAGACTTCCCTTGAGCTCACTGTCATTTTCTCCCCTTGTCTGTCTCCTCCTTATCTGTTCCCCTTTAGGTGCATCACTAGCATTTTGAGAAAGCATAATGCAAAGTGATAAAACGTATAGCTTGGTAGCACAAAAAACACAATAAAACTGTCAAATATTTGTTATTAACTTTTTTCAGGGACCTGGGGGAGCTGTGCTTCATCTTTTTTGTATCAAACATATTTAATGAGTCGTGTGGTTTCATGTTTGACCGCCCAACACAGCTCAACTGACTTGCTCTTTTAAAACACATCAATCCCCTTTCCATAAACTGCTTACAAACATTTTTGACATGTCAAAACATACGTTAATACCCATATTTAAAACATTCCCGGGAGAATCTGCTTTATTGCATAACCAGCCCACACACACACACACACACACACACACACACACACACACACAGTTGGACCTGTAGTCAATCATTCCACACATCCCTGCAACTTGTTTAAAGAACCACCCCAATGCTCCAGAAATAGAGCATCTAAAACATTCATAAGGGCCTTTGCTTGTTATTCCATTGACCAGAATGCCAGTGCAAGACTTCAGTCCAGCGCTAACAGACACGAGCAGCTAAAAATGGCATCCAATCATCTGACACATGAGCCATGTGTGCACTCCACTATTCAATGGTGACCTGCTCTCCATGTCCTCACACACATTCAACCTATTCATAATAACAGTGCTGCTACACAGAGCCTGTTTATTCCCCCAAAGACCTAAGACACTGATTTTCCTTGTCAGCAACAACTAAAACATCCATGTTTCCCGATTTCCTGTCAAATGGAGTCCCAGTTACATAAACCAGGGAGTAGTACACAGAGAGCCGACCTTTGACACTTTTCTGCAGCTCATACAGACAATCTAATGCACCATTTCTTCAATGGTCCATAAGAAAAAGATAGAACTGTGACTTTCAGAGTTATAAATTCCCTCCCTCCCCCCTTTGCACCTGTCTGGCTGCACCACAGAAGAACTAATAAAAATGTATCACACCCTTGCACAATGCCTAATAGTCATGGTAGAAGCCAAGCAGCAGTCCTCTTAGTGCTGTGTTTAGAAAAAGAGGGATGAAAGGCCAAGGGTAAAGCGTGACATAATGCAAGCATGATATGTGGCAAAGGCATACTGTATAAGCATAAAAAGAAAAAAATGACGTGCACTGACACAGAGGGAGAGGGGATGCATAGTATTGTTAATCCTCAGTGTTTCCAATAAAAGAGTAGATGAGCAAAGAGGACTGCACAGGAGGGGAGGCAGGGAGGGGATTATTAGAGTCTTAGAGAGAGAAAAAAGGGACTGTCAGCCCAGTATTAGAATCAGTCCGTCATGCCACAGGGATCAAAAGGGCAAGACCGGCAATAACCAAGGCTGCACCGGGGAGCAAAGCAAATCACAGCTTTTCCTGCT